GGTATCCCTTTCCAACATTAATATTGGCTTTTGTTGTTTTTAGAAAAGGCCATCCTAAAAGGATTGATGTTGGATTTGGTGAATTGTCATTTTTCGGATTCAAAATGTAGAAATCAACTAGAAAGACTAAGTTATCCACATTCATCAAACCATCTTCAACTACTCCTTTAGGGTATATATTAGAACAATTTGCTAATTGTATAAGAACACGAGTCTTTTTTAGAAGTTCCAAATTTAAGTATTCATAAATCAAAAGTAGCATCACATTTATGAATGCACCTAAATCTAGCATAAATTTCTCAAATCTTATCCTATAAGAAATGGTGAACATACCTAGATCTTAGTATTTAGGAGGAATTTTTGTTAAATCATTGTAGACATATATTCTTTTCTATAATTACCCTTTCATCACCTCCCAACTTATGCTTATTAGTGCATAGCTCTTTGAGAAATTTCGCATTCCTTAAAATTCATTTGATTACATTAAACAAGAGTATATAAATCTCTACCTTACAAAGCACTTCTAAAAACTCCTCATGTTTTTCCTTTTTCTTTGCTTTTGCTAATATGTTTGGAAAAGGTGGAGGATTAGCATGAAAAAAATTAAAGAGTTAGAGATTACTTTACTATTACTATTTTTTAGTTTCTTCCTTTATCTCTTTTGTTGCCTTTTTCCTTGCCTTAATATCCTCTTATTGGAAACCACCTGGTTCTTCATATTTCTTACCATTCTAAAGTGTGATTGTACTAAAATTCACTCTTGGATTCAACACAATTTAGGAAGGCAACCTCGCTCGAATCTCGATCTTCAAGCTTGCTCACCGATGTTGGAAGTTAATTGATATATGTTTTCATATTATGTATGCTAGCTTTCATTTTTTGCATGCTAGCCTTTGTTTTTTGTTGAAATTTCATAGTATTGTTTGCAAGAGCTATAACAATTTTTTCAAAACACATACTTGAATGTAGAGCCTAACTCGCTTGTTGTCTTGTTTGGATAGGAAGTTGACAGCAATTATAGCCAACTTGGTTACCATAATTGAAATTAGGATGATCTTATCAACATGGATTATATGAGTTAGAATATAGATCGAACTAATGTTGGGTTGGTCCTGGAAAACCACCAATTGAATGAGCGTAATAGATTTGCTCCTCTTACATTATTAGACACATATTAGTATTATGTCCTCGCACCGAACATATTCTACACGCCTTGACTGTTGAAATGGTACCTACCGCCATTTTCCAAACCGGAGAAGTTAAGTCGAAATTTGATGTTTAAGGTGAGACGTACTTACCTCGTTAACCTTTCTAGGTATATGAACTATCCTAGGTCCGAATTGTTGTGAGTTGGTCGCTATGTTAGCAATCGGGTTTACGGCGACTTCTAGTGGTCATGTCCACTAATGCTCTTCTACTTACAACATCTATCATCTATCATACTCCTTTTCATTGATAACAATTCCTTTATAGAAATATTAAATAAGGAGCTAATCACTTATCCGGTGGTTAGGGCGACTCGTATAAAATTTCTTAAATCGCTATCAATACTCATATAAAGTCTCTTAAATGTACTATCTAATGTTACATATTTCTTTTCTGATGTTGGTAGCCTTAGAGGTAGAGAAGTATTTTTTCCAATGATAACCTTTTTATCTCAATCTAAGTATTCATTGAACCTAATGAAAGGTAGTATAGTCAATCCTTAGCAGAATCTACCGGTGAAAAAGGGAAAAGCTCTCATCTTTATTTGCTTCTGTCGGGACATTTTGTGGCTTCATACTAAAACACACCATATGGAATTTTTTTAAATTCTTGTGTGGATCATCACCTGCAAGACCATGAAAACTAGGCAACAAGTATTTTAAACTTGATTTCAATTCAAAAGCAACATCTAAATCAAGATACTCAATGCACAATGGTTGTTGATTTAAGTCGAAATAGTTAATTCCTTCAAGGTCTTATTATTGACAACCATGTTTTCTAACTCCAAATCAATAGATGAACTATCAAAAGCTAGATCAAAGGCTATGTTTATGCCAAGTGATGAAAATCTTGTTCCCTTAGGGTTTATAGAATTAGCATAACTTATGGGAGTATGAAAAGCCTTTCTTTTCAACCTATGCAATACTCTCTTAATTTCTAGATCAAAATTTAGCTCACCGGTATGAGAGGATCGAGTTATAAACCATAAAAATCATAGATTTTATGGTCGAAAAATACAAAGGAGGCCTTAAACCCTATTAGACAATGGAATTTGGCCTCGCAGAGGGTAGGACTCGTGGAAAAAATATCCGACGTTGAATTTTGTATAAAAAAAATTACATAAAACCACAAATCTTTGTAAATAGAGATTAAAAATACCTACTCTCAAAATTCAACAATCTAAACTATAAAAACAGAAAAAAAAATCGATTAAAGCCATTTCCTCGATAATAGTGCCAAAATTTTGATGCTTGTAGAGTGCACAAAACTTAATTTATTGTTCTTATCAAAATTTATAATGAAGGCAAGTCCGAGTCGAACCCTAGAGACGATCAATCAATTTTGTTATCTTTGGAAATTGAGGGATTTTGTTTGTATGTTGAAATTAAATAATAATAAAAAAGCTTTAATTTAAAAAAAATACTAGTTCAAAGAGAAATTCAAATATTTAATTTACGGATTGATTATCAACACCTAAATTACTTTTATTTCATTGAATACTTAGGCTAGATTTACCTAGACACTAGAATAAAATCAAATCTTTTCTATATTTATCAACTCAAAACTCAACGCCTAAATTAAATTTTTATTATCAATTAATTTTGGTATTACAACAATCCTAATAAAATGAACAATAACATTATGAATTAGAAATATAGGTAATGAGCTCCTTAGACAATCACTTATGCATTCATAATTAATTTTTTTTAGAGATCAATTAATTAGGTTTAGAAAAGTAAAAGATACTCAAATCATAAAGAATAGTTTAAAGATAACTTTTGCAAATTAAAGTTGAAATCCCTTAAACTAAACTAAGAAGATTTAGCGAGACATTGTTTGAAGTATAAAACTCTAAATTATGTAAAAGACATCATATCTCTAAAGTGCAGCCTTAGAATCTATTTATACATGTATAGAGATAAAATATGACATCTAAAAAAGTCTATTTTAAGCTTGTTGCCAAAATTGGTTAGGGCTTATTCGCTGAATCGGACTCTAGGTTTCGAATCGATTTAGGGTCGAAGGCAACAGAATTTGGATTCGGACTCTTCTTAAAAGTTGTAGGCCTATATGTTTTCTTTTTGTAGGATTTTGAATCCTCTTGATCAAAATTGTATATCTCCAGAGATAGTCTAAACACTAGGTAGTTTTCTCGTACCATCACAAAATTCGAATTTCTTCCTAGAATTTGCAATCGATTTTGACGAGTCCAAAATATAATGGATTTGTGCATTTCAACACAATCTAGAAATCTTAAGATGTCCAATTTAATCTCCAAGAAGACCTCTTTTACATTTTGGAGCTATAAGGATGTGAAATCTTAAGGATGTTTCCCAATTGTTACATGAAAGAAATTTAAAATTTTTAAAATTTCGCCTTAATTGTATCAGTTTTGTTCCTTGACTTCAATCATCTCCTAAATCACAAATAAACTTAATTCAGCATATATAACCTAAAATTACATCCAAAAAACTAAAAATAAGATAATAAATATAATTAATAATGCTCATTATTATATTTTCCATCCAAACTGGATCGTGTGTGGTCCCTATAAATGGTTACCGGTTACCCTTTCTTTTATTTTTTGTTTCAGCATGTGAAATTTTTATTTTGTTTTATTTTTTTGACCATTGGAATTATTGAACTGATGACTCCCTTGTTTTAGGATTTACACTTCTATGTAGCGTTTGGATCCTGTCTGGGAACAGAAACTATAATCATGTAATCTTGGGACCAAGTCTTAAAATGCTTCAATATGTAAGCTCTCCAACAAATGAGTGAAACTATAATCATGTGGAAGATTTTGTGGAAGAAACTTCTCTGTCATTACTGATTGGGTGCTTTTTTAGAGAAAAATCAGTTGTTACATAAAACTCTTGCTAAGTTATATATCTAGTAGAATAACCTATACATGCTGGATAAAATGTCCAGTAGTCTGTACTATTACACTCTCTCTTGTTCTTGAGAACTTCCCCCTGTGAGTACCGTCTGGAACTAATAGCTTGAGGTTCATAGCTAATCCACAAGTAGTTGACTGGCAAGGCATTTTCCACCACGACACAATTCCTTTTTGGCTTCATATTGAATGTTAAGAGCTAAATCATTACAACATAATTTGAAAATAACAGTTCCGTATGTCATTACGGCTCTTGACCTTTTCTCATCTATAACTTTGTATTCTGATGAGTTTTGACCTATCAATATGTCTTGTTCATGCAACCATCTTGGTATTAAAAAGTTATTTCAGTTAATGAAATAATTGAAAAATGCTAGCATCCAATATATATGTGTATATATATATAAAATAAAGGCAGTCAATGGCATCAATCTCTGTACATACTGGGAGTTTGGATGTTTGTTCACGCTTGTAATAGTATATAACATAATGGAACTTGCTCTCCTGTATTTAATAATATCTTTTGTTTTCACCTTGTCCTCAGCAGCTTTATAAATTATAGGGATTCCCCATCTGGCTAATTAGTATAGTAACCAATGTGCAATAGCTGGCAGCCCAGAAGGCATGTAAAGTAGTAAATGTTAAACTTCAACTCATGTTTAGTTTATATCCTATAAACAACGTGAATAATGGCTCTAACTTGCTGAAAAAGCAACATGAATCTATGACGCATTCCATTACTTCATCAACTAATAGCTAATAGCAGGCTCAACCTTTGCATTTTAAAATCTGCTTAGTCAAATGGACGTACCTGTATATACACAGATTTCTCTCGGCTCTCTCTTTATATAAATATATATATAACTCTTTAAGCGTAAGTCTTTCAGTTTATCTAACAATGGCTCAGCTGGCTGGCCCTGATGAGATAGAGTCATTTCGGATTGAGTTAGCAGAGATTGGAAGAAGCATAAGAACCTCATTCAGGAATCACGTGTCAAGTTTGCGTAGCGTCTCAACTGAGAATTCTGAACACGGTACGGATGCTGATAACGAAGAGGTGTCACAATGGGCTGCTGTTGAGAGATTACCAACCTTTGAACGGATTACCACTGCTTTGTTTGAGGAGCAAGATGGCACTTCTGGAAATAGAGGTGTTAAAGGGAAGAGAATCATCAATGTTGCCAAAATTGGAGCTCAAGAGCGACATATGTTCATTGAGAAGCTCATCAAACACATTGAAAATGATAACCTCCGATTGTTGCAGAAACTTAGGAAAAGAATTGACAAGTAATTTTCTTTCTACTTGCCCTATTTGAAACGTACGCTGATAGTCTAGTCATACATATTGACGTACAATTAGAAATGTTGCTACGCTGAGTAACAAATTGTAGTACCACAGTACTCATAGCTTCCTTGAAGTATTAGATTCTATTTGCATATCTTAACTTCAACTCCCTCATGTTTAATTTATATTTTACACATAAGTAGTATGATCATTACTTGTTTCTCAGGTATTAAATTTAATCATTTCATTGATGTAGTTGTAATTATGTTTTTCAGAGTTGGTGTGCAGTTGCCCACTGTAGAAGTGAGATACAGAAACCTGTGTGTTGAAGCAGAATGCGAGATAGTTCAGGGAAAGCCTCTCCCCACTCTTTGGAACACTGTTAAGAGTATTCTCTCTGTAAGTATCTGCATATAAGAGGAATAAGTTCTCCAAGCGTTTTTTTTATTTTTTTATTTGACTCCACACCATTGGATCTTTTACAACATGAAAGTTGCAAAATTTTAACTTGAAATGAGTGCCTTTTTACTTAATGCAAAGTGGAGCAAGTCTGTGAATGTTAAAAATGCAAATAATTCAATCACTTCACCTGTGGATTCCTGCTGCTTGGGTATGTTGTAAAGTTAAAAAAATGGTTGCGCCTTTCTTTTCCCTTTATAAACTGCTAAAAGCTAAACCATTTCTGTTTGTGATAGGGGATTGCCAATCTGTCACATTCAGAACAAAGAAGCAAGATAAGCATCATAAAAGATGTCAGCGGCGTTATTAACCCCGGAAGGTAGCTCTCAAATACGCCGTGGTTTGTTATGTTCAATTAATAGTAGAACAATAGCACTTGAGCCCTTGGTCTCATTCCTTCGGATATCCTAAACCAGCAGCATAACGATGGTGACTCACAAAATTGCTTTTCTGATTTGCCATTTATTCCCTCAGTTCTCTTGAAAAAGACACTAGTATGGCTAACTAAATTAAACATTTCTCTTTGAGATTAAAAACAATCTATAATTTAATTTGGGAAAAGAGCATTCATAGGAGTCAGTAATTAGGGTTGTTTATTCCAACATGACATTTTTTTTAATGAATACCAATGTAAGTTGAGGTTATAAGTTTGCAATTTGCAAGCTCATTCTGATATGTTCTCTCTTTATGGACACATAAATTTGGCTACTAATTTTCAGACAGAATATTAATCAGAAATTCAGAGTCTAAAGATTCCTATTATGCAACTTTCTAGCTTTCACAGGGGCTGTATCAATGTTTGTCTGTCCAATTGCTTCATTACTTATTTTGGATACAAGAAATGTACTGAATTTGGCTTGGTAACTTCAAGTTCACTGACAGTTTATCTTTTTTGCAGGATGACTTTATTGCTTGGCCCTCCAGGATGTGGAAAAACTACTTTGTTGTTGGCTCTCTCTGGGAAACTAAACCATTCTCTCAAGGTTTTATTGCTTCTACAATACAAATAAGAGAAAATTGATTTTCGACAGATTAAAGAACATGCTGAGGAATTCTACAGAGAATTTTAACTCAGGAAATGTTTAAAAAATTTTGGATGGGAATGGGATGGACTCAGCTTTAAGTTTCTCACTGATCCGTATGTTCTTGTAAAGGTTGCAGGGGAAATATCTTACAATGGTCACAGATTGGAAGAGTTTGTTCCTCAGAAATCTTCAGCATATGTAAGCCAATATGATCTGCATATTCCAGAGATGACAGTAAGAGAAACAATTGATTTTTCAGCACGTTGTCAGGGAATAGGAAGCCGAGCTGGTAAGAGTTCTTTATCGACACAATTAGTATCTTTTTTAGTCAAATGAAACTCTCAACTTGATTCTATAGAGTACGTTCTCATTTTCCCGGTAAGCCTTATGTTATTCGTCTTCCTTTCATGAAAGAGGTCATGATGGAAGTCAGTAGAAGGGAGAAGCAGGCAGGAATACTTCCAGATTCTAATGTGGATGCTTACATGAAGGTAGACATGGTGGATCCTAAGATTCTACTTTCATATCCAGAAGGTTCCTTTACATGTTAAAGAAGCAAGTTCTTCAAGAGTTAAAATTATGAAGGAAAAAAAGAGAAGAAAAATTACCTGAAGGATAATGTTTCATAATCTTAAAAGCAAGCTCGATTATAGTTGCATATGTCTGTCGTTTACATGAAGGTAGACATGGTGGATCCTAAAATTCTACTTTTCACATTCAGAAGGTTCCCTTGCATGTTATAGAAGCAGGTTTCCAAGAGTCAAAATTATGAAAAAGAAAATAATAAAGAAAGAAAAACTAACATGAACGATAATGTTTGATAATCTTAAGCAAGCTCGAGTATAGTTGCTTGTGTCTGTCGTTTATCAAGCCTAATTATGTTATTCGGTATCCTATGAGTGTTTTGGCTAAATATGGTGCCTGTTTTTGTGGGCAGGCAATATCAGTTGAGGGATTGAAAAGTAACCTTCAGACAGATTACATGCTGAAGGTAATTTACTAGGTTTATTCCACGGGGCTGAAGTCTTACATTCTATTTGCTTCTTGACGAAACATCCTTTTGTTTGACAACATTTTCCATCCCCTTCTTTCAGATTCTAGGACTTGATATTTGTGCCGACACAATGGTCGGGGATGCCATGAGAAGAGGTATCTCAGGTGGTCAGAAGAAACGTTTGACTACAGGTAATGTATGTCTGAGATAAAAACTGATACTTCAGAGCATTAATTTGTGTTCCGCGAGATCTTCAAGGTGCTGAACTGCAAAGTCCCAAGGGAGTGGATTGAATATGATCATGAATTTGATACCTGTGAATGATTTCCCTTTGTGTGACAGGGGAGATGATTGTGGGTCCAACGAGAGCACTATTCATGGATGAAATATCAAATGGCTTAGACAGCTCAACCACTTTCCAAATTGTTTCTTGTCTACAACATTTGTCTCATATTATGGATGCCACAGTTTTGATTTCACTACTTCAGCCAGCTCCAGAGACCTTCGATCTCTTTGATGACATCATACTGATGGCAGAAGGGAAGATTGTGTATCATGGCCCACGTTCTAGTATTTGCAAATTCTTTGAGGACTGTGGGTTTAGATGCCATGAAAGAAAAGGTGTTGCAGACTTCCTTCAAGAGGTAGGTGTTTAAGCTTCTGTTTGTCTCTCTATTTATATTTGATTTAAAGTCGAGTTGTCTTATTCCTCTGCATTGCTTCAGGTTATTTCTAGAAAAGATCAAGGCCAATATTGGTACCTTACCCAACAACCATACAGTTATGTTTCAGTTGACGAGTTTGTTACAAAATTCAAAGAAAGTCAGCTTGGCAAGAATCTAGATGAAGAGATCTCGAAGCCATTTGATAAGTCTAAAAGCCACAAGAGTGCTTTATCCTTTACAAAATACTCATTAACAAAATGGGAAATGCTTAAAGCTTGCTGTGTGAGAGAATTTCTTTTAATGAAGAGGAATTCTTTTATTTATGTATTCAAATCTGTACAGGTACCTTTCGTTATAATATTCATTATTTGCTAAACTTTTAGCTTTTAATGTCTAAGCAGTCAGCTCATCTGAAAATATCCCTGGTTCTTTGTACAGCTATTGATCATTGCTTCAGTAACAATGACTGTCTTACTGCGCACAAGAATGGGTGTTGATGCGATCCATGCAAGCTATTATATGGGTGGTTTGTTCTATGCACTGCTTATCTTACTTGTCGATGGATTTCCAGAGCTGCAGATGACTGTCTCTCGGCTTGCTGTTTTTTATAAACATAGAGAGTTATGTTTTTATCCTGCTTGGGCTTATGCAATCCCTGCTGCTATACTTAAAGTTCCAGTTTCATTGTTGGAAGCGTTCGTTTGGACAGTTCTTACTTACTACGTCATTGGCTACAGCCCCGAGTTCGAAAGGTGAGCTCTAGATGGGGAATTAAATATTCAGCAGATAAATGTTGAACTTACTGGTATAAGTGATGCAAAAAAATGGGTATTTTGGCTACCTGCTACTGCATGAAATACCAACTTATGAATCTACTCTCCGGCTGTGAAAAAGTACTATCGTAGTTAGTTATAACACTTGGTCGGAGATGAGAGAAAACCAGTAACTTGGGGAGAACATTGTTAATACACTAAGATGTTTTTATAGGAGATATTGTTCATAGGATGCACAGAAGATCTGTTGCTGTTTTCTGGAGGTTGAGAAAGAAATGAATTAATTCTGGCTGAGGATAACCAGTTATTGTGTCAACTACTTTCATCACTATGATTACTCTCTAATAGGAAATTTTGGATGCCATTAATTTCTTTATTCATCTGCTGATTTGTTGTGTTTCTTAGGTTCCTCCGCCAGTTCCTTCTACTCTTTCTGGTACACTTGGCATCAACATCTATGTTTCGGTTTGTTGCATCAGTCTTCCAAACTGTGGTTGCTTCAACAACAGCTGGTGCTCTCACTATATTAATTGCTTTAGTATTTGGTGGCTTCGTAATTGCGAAACGTGAGACTTCATACTGCTCTTCTCATAATCCTGTGATTTTGTTCAAATGATTTTCCTAAATAATTTGTGCTGTTGCAGCCGCTATGCCTGTTTGGCTGCAATGGGGATTTTGGATTTCTCCATTAACATATGGTGAGATAGGTTTGACTGTCAATGAGTTTCTTGCTCCTCGGTGGGAAAAGGTACAATTTAACTATTCGGTCATTATGTAGGTTGCTCTTTGGACAACAAGGCTCAAATTCTGTCCCTTTTTTTTTTTTTTTTTTTTGGGTTAGAAGTATAACACTTGGAAGAAAACCTTTTGGGAAGGGGATCTAATATTCCTACTTGATATAAATCAAATCTGTTGAGATATTTTATCAATGTTAAAGTTCGTTAGGAAATTTCTTTATCAGTTTTATTTTCTTAGCATTCACAGTTTTCATTGATTATATGATCTAGATGGAGTATGAGATTCCTATTGTTCCAAAATTGCAAAATTTAGTTTTTAGTCATCCATGTAGTAAAGGTCATTTACACTTCAACTTTAAACACAGGTTGTCTCTGGTAACACATCCATCGGACAACAAACACTAGAAAGCCGTGGCTTAAATTTTCATGGCTACTTTTACTGGATATCAGTTGGTGCATTGATTGGACTGACAGTGCTTCTCAATATCGGTTTCACAATGGCTTTAACCTTCTTAAAGCGTGAGTTCATCTTCCACTGCTTAGTGGGTTTAGAAAAAATATGTTGATGCATCCATGCTAATCAATTGCATTGATCCTCATTCAGCCACAGGAAACTCCCATGCAATTATTTCTCGTGAAAAGTACAATCAGCTCCAAGGAAAAATAAATGACGGCAACTTTTTTGACAAGGACAAGACCCTCACTGCTGCTCCTGCTAAATCTAGTACAGAACCCAAAAGCGGTGTGCTTCTTTTCTTCTTCTCTATCATCAATTTTGGCATAGAGCATTTGTACAAAAGCTTTTGACTTTGTAGTCTGTTTCATGGTAATCTACATTGGCCATAGAGAAATATCCCCAACATCTTTTGAAGTGTTGGCATCAATCATTTTTGCAGGAAGGATGGTGTTGCCTTTTGAGCCCCTTACTATGACATTTAGGGATGTTCAGTATTACGTTGACACACCTTTGGTAACCAAGATAAATCTAGTTTTTTTTTTTTTTTTTTTTTTTGAATTCTCGACAGTCACAGAATGCTGTTATATTTGTCGCAGGAAATGCGAAAACATGGTTATCAACAGAAGAAGCTTCAGCTTCTTTCTGACATTACTGGTGCATTCAAACCTGGTATCCTCACCGCATTGATGGGTGTTAGTGGAGCAGGGAAAACAACTCTTATGGATGTTCTTTCTGGAAGGAAAACTGGTGGTACTATTGAGGGAGAGATTAGAATTGGCGGGTATGCGAAGGTCCAGGATTCATTTGCTAGAATATCAGGTTACTGTGAGCAAACCGACATTCATTCCCCACAAATTACTGTAGAAGAATCTCTGGTATACTCTGCTTGGTTGCGGCTCCCACCTGAGATAGATGAGGAAACTAAATATGTATGATATCCTTTTAAAAGCCGAACTAGTAGTTTGTTTCTGGACCTTAATCATTAAGATTGGATGGTAGTAGAAGTTTTTATGGTCAACTTTTTTCTACAGGAGTTTGTAAATGAAGTCCTTGAAACTATCGAGCTTGATGGAATTAAAGATTCTTTAGTAGGCATGCCAGGAATTAGTGGTTTATCAACTGAGCAGCGTAAACGGTTGACTATAGCTGTGGAACTTGTTGCCAATCCATCTATCATATTTATGGATGAACCAACTTCGGGTTTAGATGCAAGAGCAGCTGCAATTGTTATGAGAGCGGCAAAGAATATAGTTGAAACCGGAAGAACAGTTGTTTGCACCATCCATCAGCCAAGTATTGATATCTTTGAGGCATTTGATGAGGTAAAAATAAAATAACGATAACATTGATATTTGATAGTCTAGTTTCTTCTTCACCATTGGTAAGAATAGGACCCCCATAACACCTGATGCCAAGTCGTCTTCCATTATGCAAAGACATCAATGGCAGAAATGGCGAAGCCGATGCTATCAAGGTTTTAATATCCAAATCTGAGATCTTAATGCATATGATTGAAGTTTTGACACATCCTACTCTTGCTGCAGTTGATTCTAATGAAAATTGGAGGACGTATAATCTATTCTGGACCATTAGGCCAGCGGTCAAGCAAGGTGATTGAGTATTTTGAGGTTGGTTGTCATGAAATTCTCTGTTTTTAATGTCATTGTCTTTCAGATACTTCTGGTAGCTGACAGACTTCTTAATCAACCTTGATTTTATTTTCCTGACTTCATTGGATAGAGTATTCCGGGTGTGCCTAAGATCAAGGACAGTTACAATCCTGCAACATGGATGTTAGAAGTTACTTCTAAATCTGCAGAAGCTGAACTTGGTGTAGCTTTTGATCAAATTTATGAAAGGTCGACCTTGTATCAGTAAGTACAAAAACCAAGACGCTATGTACAGATATTCAGAAGGAATAATAATATTTTGCCACTATCTGACTGTTTAGTTCAATGGTTGTACGTGAGAAGGTCTTCATTATTAAGATTGAAGTTCTCGGTTTATGCTCTTAATTGGCTAATACATGAATGAGTGTTTTTCAATATATGTGCTAGTAATTGCTTAAGGAAATATATTAATTAAAATTCTTCACTGATGTAAAGTCTCTTGCTCATCTGACTGCAGGGAGATCAAAGAGTCGGTTAAGCAATTGAGTTCACCAACTCCTGGTTCCAAAGAATTGCATTTTTCCACTCGTTTTCCGCAGAATGGCTGGGAGCAACTCAAAGCATGCCTGTGGAAACAAAACTTGTCTTATTGGAGAAGTCCTTCTTATAATCTTTTGCGCATAATTTTCATGTCCTTTGGAGCTCTCCTATTTGGCCTCCTGTTCTGGCAGCAAGGAAAGAAAATGTAAGTTAGTACACCCTGATGCTTCTACAAAGCACAAAATTTACAACCTGTATATGCAACCTTAAAAAGACCAAATTCCTAAAAATGAACCAGCTTTCAAACTTTCCGTAGATTTAAAGATCTTTCAATATTTATTTATGTTGATACATGCCTGTGGTTTTTTCCCCTTTATCTTATTTTTTTCAGAAAAATTCATATTTTGCAGATAAAATGTTCTTAAATGCTTTGATATTTAGTTGCAGGGTGTGCTTTTATGGAAAAGCATTTTCATGGTAGTTTTGTTCTCGTTTTGTAGCTACAACGAGCAGGACTTGTTCAATGTAATGGGCTCAATGTACGCAGTCATAGTATTCTTTGGCATAAACAATTGCTCCACAGTCCTACCTTATGTAGCAACAGAGAGGACTGTTTTTTACCGGGAAAGGTTTGCTGGAATGTATTCTTCATGGGCCTATTCACTTGCTCAGGTTTCACATATCTTACGGAAGCTAAATTATTTACTTTTCTGTCGAGTACATGACGAAATTTAAACTAGCTTTCATGTCTCTATTTATGAACTAGATATACTCAATCCTTCCATTCTACTTTAGCTTTGTAAATTTACCGGTGATGATATGATTTGATAAAAAATCGTGAATACCTGTAAGTTGAAATCCCTAGCAGTTGCATTTGATCACTGAAGTAAATCTGGCAGTTTCTAGGTGTTCCTACTAGAATCTCAACTAGTTTACACTTCAACCAAATTAACTTGCCACGTTATATCTGATTTCAAATGGAAGATAAAATATCAGCGATCCCTGCACCAGAAGCTTGATCATTTTGGATGTTCTTCTGAACCAAGAAGGTTATAGAAGACATCTAAGTATAAAAATAATGACTAATTCGCCAATTGAAGCAGCTTTCTTTTTGCTATTTTCAAGTTGAAGCTTAGAAGAAGATGCAAAAAGATACATGGTTCAAATCTTATTTGAATTTCTTCAAAGTTGTTGAAATTTGCTGCTTTTTTCTTTCGCCAATTGACAGAAAACTACGGTTTTATATATATATATATATATATATATAATTATTATCATTATTGCTTCTTTGTTTTGTAGGTGCTAGTTGAGGTTCCATACTTGTTCGCTCAAGCAATCATTTATGTGATCATCGCATATCCTATGATTGGTTATTCACCGTCTGCCTATAAGATATTCTGGTCTTTTTACAGCATGTTCTGCGCATTGCTATTTTTCAACTACCAAGGGATGCTGCTTGTGTCATTGACACCCAACATTCAAGTGGCTGCCATTTCAGCCTCATTTTCATACACGATGCACAACTTTTTCTCAGGCTTCGTTGTACCAAAACCGGTAAGCTTTCTAACTATCAATTTATCCTACTAATTCATCCATTTCCAGTATTATCCGAGGGAAATGCTATTTTCTTTAAGCGTCCCAGCTGGCTTTTCCTTTGACGCACACGAACAAGAAAGTTGCATCTATTTCTTACTTGGTTGTGTAGCGTTACACATCTTTGCTCTGAATTGCTTCTTCCATACTTTCAAGGGTTTTTTTCTCATGAAGATGGTTAGGATTCAATTAATTTTAAATTTTCAGGCTTTCAATTTCAATGTAATAAAATGCATTTAATATATATTAAATTTGTGAATAAGGTTGTGCAGAGATGAGAGGGTTGAAATACAAAACTGACTCAACATGGTTCTTTTGTGCTTCATCGTGCAGCATATTCCAAAATGGTGGCTTTGGCTGTATTACCTTAGTCCCACCTCTTGGGCATTAAATGGCATGTTCACCTCACAGTATGGAGATGTAGACAAAAAAATATCAGTATTTGGCGAGACTAAAGTTGTTTCTGCTTTTATCGAGGAATACTTTGGGTATCATCACAGCTTTTTGAGTGTTGTGGGTGTTGTACTAATCATCTTTCCCATTGTCACTGTTTGTCTTTTTGCTTATTGTGTTGGAAGACTGAACTTCCAGAGAAGGTAGATTTTGGATTGATGTACAATCTTCTTCTTCTTCTTCTTCTTCTTCTTTTTTTTCTTTTTTTTTTTTTTTTTTTTTTGTCATCGTTGTATTGGTGTAGAATCTTTTGTTGTATCATTAATATTAATCATCCCACGCCATGTTTTTTTTTTATATGCACGATAATATTAAGATATATGTACTTAAAGTCGTGTGTGTATATATGGGTGTATGTTGGGATTTAATCTCATTCTGCACAAATTAGATTTCATAATAAAATAATTAAATTAAAAAAATAAAATAATTAAAAAAGTATAAAATAAATATATCACAATAACACAATAAAAAAACACAAAATTTATGTAGAAAGTTGTATTTATTGTAAAAAAAATTACAGGACCAATTCTAAAATAATATATTATAATAAACAAATTAATACAAATATCACTCAAGTTTCACTATAAATTTCAAAAGTTAACAGTATTGACACTAATATAAATTACATTTCTAACTAAATTTGTCTCATTACAAAAATGTAAAATTTGCAAAATTTTCATGTTTTTACAAAGCTCACTATTGTGTAAAATCACCTCTTGAAAACCATAATTCTCTATGATTGGAGCACCTAAAAAAATCAATAATAGAAAGATCTTGATATTTAATGCACTCAAAAAATATTTACGTTCTTTCTATAGCAATCAAAAAAAAAAAAAACTTTTTTTCCTTTTCTACTATTGCTCTTTGTGGCAACACCTATCGTCTCACCGAAAGGTTTTTTTTTTCACATATGTGTGTGTGTGTGTGTTTTGTTCAAAACAAGACATACACTCTTATTCTTTTTTAATTCTTAACTAACATACTCATGCATCTTATCCTTTCCTATTTAAATTATTTTTCTATTTAATTCCTTTTCCTATTTAATTTTTTATTTCGTTTCTTAATGGGTTATATTAAGGTTATTTATGACCTAGGCCTATAACATATATCCAACAAATCTCTCCCTCCAGCCCATGAGAGGAAACTTTCAACTCATCGTCTAGAGTTCATGTCGCTTACGCCGACACACAACACATTCTTCTTATGCACTCGCCAATTTTATTGTCTTATCAATGTGATTTTTATCTTAGAAAATCATTCTCGGTATCATCAATTATTTCTCTATTACTTCACAAAATCAATGACATTATCAATCATTAAACTTTGATTTTTTATTCTTATCATAAGTCCGAATATTACAAAAGTTAGTTAGCTCTTCCTCGTCAAATAATAAGACATTATTAGCATTGGAATTTTTGGTAAAGGAATAATATTAATCAATAGATCTACTCACATGAGACTCTATATTCCGAAATGAAAAGTCGTATTATTCCCGTTAAGAACTCTTTGTATTTGTATCATCGTCATTACTATTTATTGGTTTAATCTTAATTCCTAGTTTTTCATTGAATACTTATATGTGGCAATCGTTTTAGCAAAAGTAACAAAAGACTTCTTCGTTAATCTTTTTTCATTCACTTGAGCATGTCCTTTAGATCACAACTTAAAAAAAAATTATATATTTGACTATACTCTTCTCATGTCCGATCAACTACATTTTTATCCTATACAGCTTTATCACAAATATTACCTCTAGAAACAACCATTGATCTCTCAATGAGTTTTCACCTTTCACCATCAAAATAATTGTACTATCCGACAATGTCCAAGGGAAGAATATAAATTAGGTTTAGGCGTCAATCCAAGTACATGCATTACATTTTTCAAAGTCATTGTATAGCTTATATATGTCTTTATACTCACATTATCAATTTCTAGAGCACTAACATAACCATCATTGCCTATCCTTATTCTCTCAAAATCTCTTGTTTTGTACACAATTAAAAAAAAAATCATTCCTACGAGCAACATGATATATAGATGTTGAGTCAACAATCCATTCAACAAGAAGATCCGCAACATTACACTTATCCTCTTTATATGGGAGCCTCGCTACATCTCAATCGAAGTTAATAGTGCATTAATTTTCTCGTTATCTTCTTTTTGATTCATTAGTTCTTCTTATTCTTTATGAAAGATCATGCATCCTATGGAGTGCGGAATAAAACAAAAAAAAATTATCTATCTAAAGCTCTCAAGATCATGCCGTTGAATCAACTAATCATACATACATGAATTAAAAGTGTGAGTAAAAGATGACCTCTTATAGTGCGGATTCAGCATTTATAGAAAAAAGAGTGATCCACGTATCCGCCTCTATCGATAATCCATATAGCTTAAACACCCATAAAAAAAAGCCATAGAAATCACAAAGTGCTAGCTCCATTCCTTTTATGTAGTTAATTTTTCTCTAGAAATCAAATTAATATTTATGCGTCAACTATTGGCTTTTATGGGGAGAGGTGTGCCAACCAAGGTTTTTTAGAGAAAAACATTTTTCTCTTATTTTCATATTTTTATCCTATATACTCTTTCTTAATTACTCTAGACGTTGCCTCTATTCTTTATTTATATAGGAGGTGGTAGCAACATCTCTTAATAGGTCAATGAGATATTGCCTATGTGGGTTTTGTCTAACCTTATTCATGTAAACTCCGAGTCATATCCAATAAGGCTCAAGTTTATCCTCCCACCAAAATATCTTACGAGCTTTTAAATTAAGCCTATTGGCCTAAATTCTTTTGATCCAATTAATTATTAATTAATTTGGACTATCCAAATAAATTAGGTTAAATATTTTTAAGAAGCCCACATTAGAAAATAATTTCTCAAATTATCTTAAAACCTAAATTAGGAAACTAATTTTCTTTTTAGGCAACTTACTTCCAAATTTGGAACCGACTTCCAAATTAGAAAACTAATTTCTAAAATAAAAACATTTTCATTTTAGGAAAATTTTTTCAAAACAAAAAACTTTTTATTTTTGAAAACCTTTTTCAAAATAGGAAACTTTCCAAAACTCGGATACCCCTTTCTAAAATTTTTGCTTCTCTTTTATTATAGGAATGTTTAAACTTATGTGTGTAACTTAATAGACTCCTAGATATGTTAGCAATGTATCAAGTATAAAAGACACATCTTTTATCTCTTAATATATAAATCAAGATTAACTTCTAACAATGCATCATGACTACTCAATTATGTAAGAGGATTAATAAATCTATAATTATTTTTCATGAGCATGGTTACCATACAATTCAGTCCTCATGTCAATTTATCACAAGTGTGATCTCAAATTTAGTTTAAAGTCCGTTCGATTATGATCACACACAAGTTTTCTTCAATTCTCAAATATCTTAGTTTTAAAGTAAACCAACTATGCTTTATCGATATACTCCTACCGTGATCATAGATTCCTTAAGTAGACTTTTATCAAAGTACAATGTGATAACTCCTTTAGTATGCGGGGAATGACATGTCCTGTCTTAGTCATCCACGTATCTACATTAGATTCCTAGCGCACCTAACGAATCGCTCATGTACAGACTCTTAACTAAGTCCAATAAAACGAGTGTCAAAATACATAAATCCTCTAATAAGATAAAAGTGATAACTTCAAGTCAAAAGATCAGTTGTATCCATCTCGTATGATATTCTCATAGACTAAACCAAATGGGTTCTCATGATTAGTCAAGTCTAATGATATATTCTCTAACATTAATCACCTAAATGCTTGCTTTGACATACCATGTCAATAGGTGTGAGATCTCTTATTGCTATTTATAGTATGAACATAGCACTCACAAGCCTTACAACATATTGTTAATGTCCATTCTTGACCATTTTATGACTTAGGACACTTAATGATATCATTTAAGTGCATTAATGTTTGTTTCATATCTTTCAATCAATCATTAATACAATGCATATCATATGGACTTCTATCTATTTTTATCAAAATATAAACGACAATAATTAATAGAAAGACTTCTTTTATTAATAAAATAAAAAATACAATATTACATTAAGTCAAACCATTCAAACAAGATTGGATCTCGAGCACATACACTAACACTTTATTCAATATCTTGCAATTTTTCTTGATGTGACTTTCTATTTGATAGTGATAACATTTAAAACTGCCAATAGTTTGTTATTTGCTTTTGGATTTATCATGCCTACTAAATTCTCTATTTCTACTCCTCTTCTTATTCTCTATGACAAGAGCTTGTGCTTCATCTGCTATCGCTTTGACTCATCTTGTTTTCTTAATTGGACAAACTATTTTTAATCATGGATAAAGACAAAACACCATTTGGAGTATAATTATCAAGTATCATAATTAAAGTCTTTTAATTGTCTCGGTAAAGTCTCTAATAGCAATAGTGCATGTAACTTATCATCTAACTCTATTTTCATGGTTATCAATTAATTAATCAAATTCTAAAATCTATTCAAATGTTCAACAATAGACCTTCCATTTTGTTATTTTAAATTCATAAGCTTCCTAATCAAACAAGCTTTATTACGTGTAGTCTTTCTTTTGTACACACTCTAATTTTTTTCATAATTTTTGGGTAATCGTCTCTTTAGATGCATGATGAAACACACTATCATCCACCTACTGTTTGATAGCTATAATATCTTTCTATGCATCATTAGTCTTGACAGTTCATTTGGTTTTATCTAATTCAATGAAATCAAACAAATCATGACAATAAAGTAAAGCCTTCATCCTTAGTTTTTAAATCGAATAATTTAAAATTGTCAATTTGATAATGGTTTTAGAATTATCTTTCTTCACCTAATTTGCATAAATATTCCAACCAAAACTCGTAATACCACTATTAGAAATTTAACCTCACTTTGTGTAAATTAGATGTCGTGAGAAAATAATCAAGTTAGACACCCAAAATAATTAAGAGAATAAAATAAATCAAATACATAAGCATAACTATAAGAATACCAAATTGACATGGAAAATCCTCTCTTTGCAATAGTTCACTATAATCAAGAAAGCAATATAGTCACTTAAGTTTCTTTGTGAACTTAAGAAGTAAAAATATTAATAATAATACAAGTTATCT